GGTTCACAAATCACATTCTGGTGCAAACATCATAAATCAGGCTACCTAAGTCCAAATCCAGTAATTCCAAAGCCATCCGAAAGCTAAGACCCAGAGCTACAATTCATCAGAAGACCTCAACAACTAAATCAGAAGCAATCCCAACCAAATTCACCAATTTCAGACACAACTCTCAAATTCGGGTAAAACCAGGGCAGCAAGGGTAATTCCGACTTTTCTCAAGCTACAGTACTCCGCTTGACCTGAAATTTTGTAGGCACCCCTAAAATATCATTCCCTACAACTTTCATGTTTATGACAAGGCCAATTAGGCCTCTAACATGGTGCAATACAACCGGACAGAATGTAAGATAATGAACCCTAACTTTCCCATTTTCCTTCCAAAACAGAAATTTCTTGTAATTAACCACACTCTCCACCTTCTAGCTTCCTTCAATATCATTTCCAATCATCATACAAAGCCACAACATATGAATCATATTAAATCAGAAAATTCATGATTAAATAGAAAATGTCATCAATCTTCACCATAAGTCATGAAATCATCCAAAAGATCACTTGTTTAACTACCACACCTACTAATTTCACCTCATAACCAACAAGGAAACAATTTCTTAACCACTTACCTTACAAACACTAGATGCAAGGTAGATGAGAGTCTCTCCCTCCAAACAAAACCACCAAGCACTTCAATCACTCCTAGCAAGTAAGCTTTATGGAGGAATTTAAGAAATAAATGGTTGGATTACAAGATTTTGGCAAGAAAAGGGAGCAAAAATTGAAGAGCTCTCTTTCTTTTCTCTCTAGAGTTGGCCGGCCAAGAAGGTGAAAATGAAAGACAAATTTTGGTTAAAATTGGTTTAGTAAAGGTAAAGAAAGACTAGTCAAATGCCAAGCTCCAATCACAAGGCAACATGTGTCCATTCCAAGCTTATCTCATTTCTTTTGTCTTGCAAGAATTAATGAACTAACCAAACCCCTAATTATCTCATAACACCATATAATATAAACCATGTATACAAAGCTATTCCAAATGAACCACATTTACCACACTTATCGCACTAGTGGGTCCCACGTCCGGTATAGCTCTTAAATTTCTCAAAAACTAACCAATACTAGAAAATCATCTAAAAACTATATTTACTCAAAAAAAATTATTTTCACAATTTTTCAAATAAATAAGATGTGGAAAAACGTGCAATTAAAAGAAAAAAAATAAAACCTAGTACTTAAGAAAATTTCGGGCTCTCACATTTTCATTCACCACCGTTAGCATTGAGTTTATCTCACTAACGTGTGTGTTGTTGTTTTTAGTTTATCTCCATTTGCATTGAGTTCGTCCCACTCGGGTCAGTCCGAATTTAAATTTCTGTTGGGGTCAGTCCCGAATTTAAATTTCTTGTTGGGGTCTGTCCCATTTTAAGTTCTTGTTAGGGTCAGTCCTCATTTTCAAAACGGCAGTCCTTCGAATAGTAGCTGCAGCCGAATAACACAGGTAAGTGTTTGGTGTCTAATTCTTTGTCTCAAGTTTTTCCAAAACTCAAACAAAGAGGGGCAAACTGTAGACACCAAATTTTTTAAATAATTTTTCATCCTAATTTTATTTTTATTTTTAGTAATTTTTATCTATTATTTTAATTCCATGATTTTAGTTATTAGATTTTTAGTATTTGTATAGCATTTTAGATTATTATTATTATTATCTGTTGTTTTATTTTAGTTTTTATTTTTGCATTCATTTTCGCCCTTTTAGTTGTTTATTTTTATTGTAAGACTTTTTAGCATAGAATTTGTGAAAAAGAGAAAATTATTTATAAAAAAAAAAGAAAGAAAAAGAAAAAAAAAGAAAAGAACTTGGTTTTATGGCTTACGTTTACCTGAAAATTTGGAAACGATTTGAAGTTTGATGGTTTGAGTGAAGTGTTTGAATAATTTCTTTTGTTCCTGATGATCCCCCATTAATTCATCAGAAACCAACTGCAGCTTTCTTTAGCCTGCAATTCCCTCATGTTTTCATTCGCTTGGATTGTCAGTGGCCATGGTGTTCATCAAAGGGTGTTGAGGGTTTCTAGGGGATCCGTGTTGATGAATGTTTGCTTTTGATTTGAGTTTGGTACCAAAATGCGTCGCATGTAATTGCTGGAATCTCAAAGTACCAGAAATTTGCTGCAAAATGTTGATGTAGTTTAGTTGCACGTAAAGTTCAGCAGCCTTGTTTTATTGTTCCTCTCTCTTATCCCAAGTTTTTGCATTCTGTGTTTAGCTAGCGAACCAATTAGAACTCTCTTGTGATGTTCGGCATGTATACATCTAAGCTGCATAAAAAGTGCGTAAAATGGTTGCTGAAGAAGGAATTGCAGAACCTTCATGAAAATAACGTCTCTTTGGTTTGCATGCATGAAGTTCTTTCAAAATTTGCATTTCAACCTCACATGTTTTTCCTCATTCTACAAAGGCCCAATTATGTTTTATTTCTTGCAATTAAGTCCGAATTAATTGCAACTTGAACCATTACTTGACCTTTTCTTTACTCTTGGACCCTTGAAATTCCCAAATAGTTTAATTGGACTTGAAAAGATTTGGTTAATAATTACTTTTGGGATTGGTTGGTAATTTTCCTTCTTTGTAATTATGCGTTATTTGATTATTTTTAAGTTGCAATTGAGGAAGGATTCGATGATTTTGTGGATTCAAATTGTCTTATTTACATTTTACCGTTAAATTGGTGCATTAATCCCTTGCTTTGATGGTTTTAGCTCAAGTTATCTCTTTCTTTGGTGACTCTAGCCCAAGTTAAGTCTTGTTCACTTTACTAACATCACAAACGGGGAGGTATAAATTCTTTTATCCTTTTTTGTCTCTCCTCTATGTGATCCAACGTGTTAAATGAGAATTGCATGTCTACTTTGCATTCCTTACCTTTCTTTAATTTCTGTCATTTATTTCATTTACTTTTACTTTTTCATTCTTTATTTATGGGGTATGTGTACACCTCTTGGCTTGTAATAGATAGGGCTGTGGAAAGCATTCTTATCCACTTTTCCCCTTCCCCATTTGTTTTAGTTAGTCAATGTAATAGGTTCATTAGCTTGGTTGCTTGTTTTGTTGCTACGTGTTAATTTGTTTTATTAGGCTCTTGCATTTAGTCGAACATGCTAAATGTTATGTGCTACGTGTTTATAGGTGATTGGCATGTCTACTCGCTTTCTATAGTCATAGATGAATGTGATGGATGAATGCGTCACCATAGCTAGTCCAACGCTGGTCATGGTTTTTCCTCTCGATCTCTCGCAAGTCCAATGCTTGTGAGAGAAGTTTAGAAAAGGGCTAGTCCAATGCTAGACCCAATAGGCCGTCCCTCTCGTTGGTACATACTTGCATGTCTCACTACATTTCATATATTTTTCTTAGTTTTTTAGCATTTGGCATGCTTCTCCAATCCTTTCCCCTTCATCTTAGGTTTTTGCATCCTCATGCTAGTTATAGGGTATATTTGTTTGAAAGTCCCCTTTCGGTAGGGGAAACGAGCGAGTGTGGCTACAAAATAGCCTTAGCACGCTAGTTCTTCTTTCTAATCAAAGGGAAAATTAAAATCGTGAGGTTAGGAGTCATTCCCGTACCCGACTTGATGCATTCCTCTAGGTTCATACACTCTCATTTTTATCATATCACTTCCTCACTTTCTTTATCCACATTCTCTCACTACTTATATTTTTCTCAATCCACATGCCATGTTCACACATTTTTCTTCTTTTCCTATCACTTATTTATTTTTCTATCTCACAAATTGCACCCAATTGCACTTATATTTACTATACCATATTTTTATCCACTTGCACACATACACCTTCAATTTCTTAACTGGCACACTTGCACTTTTCTTACATTTGCACACTTACACTCATACTTGAGTCTTCATTTGCATTATTCATGACCTCTATGAGGGCTTTCCTTACTGGCCATCACAATTCATGTGATTGGGACCAAAAAGCCTCATAAGAGACATTTTAGATTTAGGATTGCATTTTTCTTTTTTCGCATCCATTAGTCATATCCAACATGCAACACATACTTTGGGTAGAAGAATTAGGAAAAGAAAGGCTAAGTCACGCAACTAGCTTTGGCTAGGGTAAGGGAGTGCCTTAGACTTTGTCTTTGCCTTCTCCCTTATCAAATGTGACTCCCGATCCCTTTTTTTGGTTACGTAGATCTAAAATTTCTTTAAAAAGGATTTGTTTACTTTTCTTTCCAAAAAAATCACTTTTTGGGTGATTTGGTACACCCTAACTCTATACCAAGTGACAACTCCTTTTCTATCTAAAACCCTTTGTTTGGCCAAACCGTCGCATTTCACAATCCCACAGCCTTTTATTTTCACTTTCACACACGTTCACATACATATCCCACACACTACTTTCACACCTCAAAAAGTGGAGCGCGACATGATGCGTGGAAGAAAAAAAATGTTGTAGAATTTATTTTTAAATTTTTTTTTACATTTAGGAGTTTTTTTCATATAGTGTGGATGAAATATTTTTGGAGTTAATTTTGTTCGTATATTATTATAGTAATGTATTTGAAAAACTAAATTTCGAGAAATAAGCCAATCGATATGGAGCTAAAATTATTCAAACTTAAATTACCCGTACAGCTCAAGTCTAAGTCTGCCGCGGATTTAGCAGCCAATCAACCCACCGTAACTTGCACTTCCAAAATCATTTGTCATTAGAAGGTAAAATCAAATTTAACAAAATTAACCTATACATTCAACTTTTTAACAAATCAGATAGCAGTAATGAACTGAGAATGTCACGTAATGCATGCTCTGGAGTCTAGACACGAACTCTGTTAAAGCACTAGTAACATCTTGTCCTGGATTGGCAGTAAAAATTGAAATATGGGAACCATAAAAGGTAAATTGGAATATGAAAAAGCATACATAACATATGGTTGAGTTCGGATCCATAAGGAATTAAAAAACTGATCTAGGAGACGAAGCATTGGAACTGACCCCATTCCATATATTTACTGTTGCGTATTTGGATTCAGACAATCTTCTTGCATATATTCTGTAACAAGAATCACTTTCTTACACTTACAAACCCTGCCATCAATTCAATGCCTAATAGATAATACGACTGCAATGCTGAAGAGAACCAGAAGTCCAAAATTACCCCCTGGTAGAATCGTTATCCTGTTCAAAGAAACCTTAAACTTCAGAAACATTCTATTCAATTCCCAAGAGATGCTGACTGGAGGAATCGGAAAAACTGATTAGCTACATGTCTAAAGCAACAAATAACTTTTATTCGGTGACTGTGCTTACAGTAAAACTTAGGAAAGCTTTTGTCTTTTGCATCATTCTTAATGACGTATTTTAATGCTTCACGTGTAATTATCTTTATTAGATTTCAGAAGTAGACAATTTCAGTCCATTAACCAGAAGACATGTAATTCTGGCGTGATAGCGAAAGATAGATAAATGAAAAGGAAATGTGTAACATGGAACGGCAATGAACATCCTTGGGATGGTTCATAACAAAATGTAGCAAACAAGTGTATTCTTTAATCTGTTCTAGATCATTGGGACACAAAAAAAATTCCAGCTTACCTGCGTTTTGTCTGCTGCTGGTAAACATGCATCATTACCGGAGGGAGGATGCCAAAAAGAAAACAATTGGCATATATCCCAGCATAGTCAAGAGCTCTGGAAAATGTAGAGGGAAATAAGGCAGCAACTAGAACAGGAAGACCAAGTACAAAAGGCATCACAAATCTTCTCAATGAATTCCACACACAGGCTGAATTAAATTTGGAACCAGAATGGACATTAAGACCACTGTAAGATATTCTGCCTGCATTTCCTGGGCCTTGTGCATATGTGAATGTCGTCTGCCCAATTTTTCCAACTTCATTTTGAAATCCTTGAGGTCCCTGGCTTCTCATTTGCCTTGAATTAGATTTAGCAAAGATGAACTCTAGTGTATCGGCAAGCTGTTTAGGAAAGCTAACAGCATAACCAATTAAGCTAGTTGCCAGCGCTGAAAATGCAAAGGCTTGAACGGCTGATAAAGCAGAACGGTTTACTGAAAGCAAAAGTGAAATGGGATCCTTAATTGACGATGTATTGTTTGTACCAGCAAGCCCCAATACTATAGTATTCCATGATAGAACCATAAGCAATGGAATACTTCCACCAAATAGTATTGCTTTTCGAGCGTCATGTATAGTGTTCCCAGAAATTTTACAAATAAAAGGAGTGATCACATGAAACCCCAGTGTTAGAACAGCAATGGGTATAGCTGGCAAAACTAAAGAAATCTCCCATGAAGCATACACAAAGGAAACTAAGATATTATTTCGCCCAACAAGGAAACCAATTCCAACAAGTGCTATTATGGAGAAAAGCATCATGATGCATAGAAATCTATTAGCCGAGTCAATGGCCTTAAATGGGAATAACCACAGAGTTAGTCCTACCATAGATGGAAACAACCCATTTGCAATTATAGGATTTAACCATGGGAAGCACTGAGAGACAATAGCACCAATGCCTGACACACAAGCCACTAACAAAGAAAAGCTCAAGGATGCATAAACCAAAGCAACAAAAGTACCAAGACTACTTCCCAATGTCTTCCTAGCAAGGCCCGTGAAGCTAACTTCAGCAACACTATCTTGTTTCATTACTGCAAAGCTGAGCTCTGCAACAAGAATAACAGAAGAAATAACGTAGAGCCAAGAGAAGATTAGGGCAAATGTTGATGGAACTGGACCTGATTTTAGGGTTGCTGCAGGTAATCCCAACATTCCAGGCCCTACAGCTGTTCCCACGATTAAACCCACAGCTCCCCAGAAATTCTTCTCAGGGGTTTCTTGGTGAACTTTTTCAAGGCTGTAAGATTTCTCCAGAGCACAAGCATCATAACCACCATTCTCCAAACTGACAGAGATAGTGGAATTATTCTGATTTTTACACCTTACAGCCAAAGCGAATTGTCGACAGGAATAATCTGTGTGCCATACAAATATTGGGTTCTTGTGCGCTTGAGACATGCATGGGTAGAACCTCCGATTTGTGTAATCTAATAATGACAATTTCAGATTTTGGATGTTTCTTGAGAAACGAAATACGGGTGCGTTCAGCGTCAAAGTAGCATATTGATATGTTAAGATGTTCATTTTCTGGGCCTCTCACCATTACATTCACTTGCTAGTCATTCACCATAATTACAGAAGTTGCAGCGGTGAAGCATCAGGCCTACAGCACAAGAATAAGTTGTTTTTCTTGTATTAATCAAAAATTCCTTTTAGGTTTTAAGTATTTGAGATATTTGAATAGTTTAATACCTTCAATTAGAGGACACAGTTGTCTATTCCACTAGTTCTCCTTACTTCTTTTTTTTTTTTTTTTGAGAGCGGGGAGACAGGTGTCTAATTATTCACAAACTGGAATGGAACTAAGAAAAAATGGTTTCTTCCATCCAGTCATTTTCTTTGATTGAACTACCAAGATGTCCAATCAAACTCAAAAATCCATCGTATCTGATATCTCTAAAATTTGAAGCCAAATGTTCTCTATTTTCTGTGTTCTACATCCCACTTAGCAACAAAATGAGCAGTTTGCTTGCAACTGGAACTGCTAGGACATATCCACCTGCAAGCAGCTATCCACTGAAGTAGTGAATAGTCTCCTCTACGTTATTACCACGATTGCATTTCATACCATAGATGACAAGCCCAAAAGCAAACACCAACTTTATTGAAAGTTTTTAATCACGTTCAAGACTAAAACCCAGATTAGCCAAAAATATCATAATATTTTGCCAAAAAAACTTAGCAGCTTATACTAACTAACCTACTACTAATTCCATAAGGCTATAGTGTCAAAGTATAGAAAACCAGAGGAATAATGTCCACCAATTCTCATCAATTGAACTAAATCATCTTTATTTCATTCACGAACAACTGATTGAGTACTCAGGCAACTGGAAAAGTTAAAATGACCAAATGAAAAATTCAAAATCTATGAAAACACCAATAAATTTCAAGAGAAAAAGAGAAGAAAAACCCCCACAAGAAGAAAAGGCAGCTAAACTCATCCGGGTTGGGCTTGAATATAGTTAGCATTTACCAAACGAAATAATTTAGACCAGTGGTACTATCATTTATGAGCAATTTATCACAACAACGTCAACGAACAAATCACTGCCACAAGGAAAGGAGGACATTTCCAATAGTACTTGAAAGTTCTTTTATCAATGGAGCATGAATTAAGGCATACTTATCAAACTAATAGAAATTAACATAGTTCCTATCGATTTTTTTTATTACCGTAGTGTATCCTTGAGAGATATAAACGAACCTGCATTCAGTATGGGTACTTTCATTTTCTATATAAGCCGCCGCCGAAGTGGAGACGAAAGTGCCCAAAAATGTCAGGGTTAATGGATTCAGGGGTGCAGGTTACTACCAGCTGGTCCGCCCCTTTCCTAAGGAGGAGTAAATCTCTGTCAAAGTAGCATGGAGTTGAAGGACCTGCGAATCCAGCACCTAAATTCCAGGGACGAATGGAGTTGAAGGACCTCGATTCTAGGGAGTGGCACGGAGTAGATGGCCAGAAACATCACCAAATTATTTAAAATTGCACTGTTATGGTCATTCAATTTTATTTTTTTTTTATAAAAGGTCACCTATCGTCAACTCTTTAATTGCAATTTTAGTACCAATATTTAGGATAATATCAGTTTTAGTCCTTAATGTTTAAATAAAAGCAAATCTACTTCTAAATGTTTCAATTTCTAAACACAATTTCAATTAAAATTGCACTGTTTTGGCCGTTCAACAATTTTTCCCTAAAAGATCACCGATCTTCAACTCTTTAATTGCAATTTTAGTACCAAATATTAGGATATTGATAGTTTTAGTTCTTAATGTTTAGATAAAAGCAAATATAATTCTAAATGTTTCAATTTCTAAGCACATTTTCAATAATTCAATTTCTAAGCATAATGCACGGTGTAATTTTCAAACTTGCCTACAAATGCCCAGTTATTCAAATTCAAATATTAAATATGAAAAGTTATATAAAGGTGTGTCAATATCTTTGTGGTTATGTTTTTGTAGTTTTATTAAGTAGTGAAAAATACATAATTTGTTAAGAAAATGTAAGACAATATAATGAGTAGATTATTGAGATCATTACGATGTTTCTTGTTTCTGCATACAACAAAAATAGAATAAACAAAAAGATACATGTAATTGAAGAGAAGCTAATAATTTTGTTCGTAAACTTTAGTTTGATTGAATCAGATAATCATGCACTTGTTCTAAAAATAAAAGAAATTATAAGAGATAAAATGAAGCTCGATATCTTTTTTTCATGTTCAGCAATTGATATATGCTATAGATACTAGATGAAGTTAATATCTAAATAAATAGCTATAATCATTGAATGAGCACTACAACACATTAGGAGATTGATTCAACATCTCGGAAGATTGCATTGCTTCTTTTTTTCAACTTTTTTTTGTTCACAACAACTCTTTCATATACAAATTTGAAAGTTGTCAAATAATTATTTTTGGACAAAACATTCTTGAGTAACGTAATTGTTGAAGGCTTATCTAAATAGCTCAAGTGATGCACTTGTCTAGCAGTGAAAAGGGAAGAAAAGAGATTAGAGAAAGAAAGAAAAGTAGTTTTTTCTTTACTTGCTAACTAAACAAAAGTGGCAAAATCATCAGTTTAAGAATGATATATTACTGTATGGCATTGCTTTACATTGGCTAGTTGTAGTTGCACTACCTTGATGTGCCCCAAAAATGTCTTTGTTTTGGGTCGCTCATGACCAAATTTAAGAGTAAGCTCAACATCTGTAAACAATGCTAATTCATGTTGAAAAAGAAGTACATTTAATTGTAAAACATTAAGGACCACTATAAAATAGCAAGTGTGACGACCCCACCTCCCCTAAGGCGTACCAAAGGGTTCGGCGGACCGCCTGCCCAACTCTCGCCAAGACTCACTCACTCATATCACGTGTATACATCCATGGATCATAAATAACATCGCAATTCAAACTTATAATTTACATTGATGCACAATCAAGGTACAAAGCCTCAATATACCCAAACTGGTTCAAAGTGTATATAATCCAAATACAAGACATTTTATTCGAGGAATAGCGCGAGTATAAGTCAAAAGTCAAAACAACTAGACTACGCTAGTCTTTACACGTCTCACGCCTCGCTCGTACCCCTGTAAGGAAAACAAAACTAACGGAGTGAGCCAAATCTCAGTGAAGTTCCAAATATCAAATTGGACATCAAACAAAGTAATAACAGTGTGATAGTGAAATAGCGAGCAAACAAGTCCAATCAAAGAACAAATCCTTCAGGTAGTCAAGAAATATATATTGATCATATTCACATGTAAGGATATAGTGGCTTATGTCTCGGCTCCATCCCAGCTTGATCGATTGGTAGTTGACACTCCGTCAACTTTCAAGTAATAACTAGTCCAGAAAGAAAACCTCACTTCACGCTAGTCTCCGTCCACCGATCAACCCCCTTTTCCGGGCTTGCACGCCACATGAAACACGGGTGGTAATATTCGAGTATACCGATTAGCCGAGGAGATAACACTCCACTCGACATTACTAGTTACCCAGGGTTCGTTATCTAATCGACTAGACCCTTGCCGACTCAACTCGATTAAGTAGCCACAGGGTTTCTGGAATTCCAGGCAAGATACAAGTCATATGCATGTAGAACAAGTCAAGTGAAATCGATAAACAATAACAAATCTGGATAGGGCAAGTGCGATAAAGTACACCCTTACCCTATCAAATCACTTATATATCATGCGAGGACCCGAATTTTTCTCACTTATAATTCTATTTTTATGGCTTAATTAATTATTTGCCCTCCCGTTTTCTTCGAATATTATTTTCTAACGTCTTTAGACCTAATTTCATAAATCTATGGGTTTGTTATATTTTTAAAATGTCTCATTTCAAAAATTAAATTTTGGAAGCCGTTAAGTGAAAATAGTGCACGTGCGTTTGGAACGATAACCGATTTGAGGATACACTAAGCTTGGAAAAAAAAATTTAGAGATACGTACATTAGGATTAAAATAGATATTTTTATATTTAACTATTCAAGTATTAGTTAGTGAAGTTATCGTTATAAGAATTCTTGGAGATTTCGCCGTATCGCACGAAAATTGAAAGTTCACGAGTATACCGAGACGGAGCGGTAAATTGAGATTTGAGAAATTATTCTAGACTATTAAGAGTGAATAATATTAACATGAAAACAAGTGCATTAGAGGTTTAGTGCACAAGTGAAACAAACCCGAGGAGAAACGAGCGCATACGCACGGTTACGCGCGCTCTCCTTAGTTGACTTTTGGAGCATTTTGGGCCACACATTCTTAGGCTTCTCATGGGAGCATCACCCCAGATCAAAACCCTCCACTTTATCACCTCAAACAGCCATGCAACTCTTTCTTTCCTTCTTCATTCCAGCCGTGCAACTCCAAGGAAAAACAAGACCAAGTTCTTCATTTTTCCTTCATCGATTCTTGCTTCAAATCTCCACCAAATCACCTCAAATTTAACTATACTTTGCTAAACACTTGGTGATCATCTTAAGCTAGAAAAGGGGCTTCATTTCCACAGTTTTCTTGAGTTTCAAAGTGACCAAAAATTCTGATCTAGTCATCAAGAGAGGTAATGAACGATCAACCTCTTAAACCTTTGTTTATGGAAGTTATCTAGCACTTATAAGTTCATAATTTCATGTGGGTAGCTTTATTTATGTTGAATTTTATTGTGTGGGCTCTATGAACTCCCACTTTTGATGGAAGGACTGATTTGATGATTGATGATGAAATTAATGGTGGTTTAGTGCTTAAATTAGTGGATTAATGTTGTATTGTTGGTAGAAAATCAAAAGGAGTACTTGGACCAAAAGTGACCATTTTGCCCCTGCTATATTCGAGCACTTTGGTGCAAATTTTTGAGGTTATAATGGCTTTTTATTTTTTATATGTTATAGTGAGTGTGTGAAAAGTTTCATTGAAAAATAACATGATTTGGTTGGTTAAATGTGTTGAATTCCAAAGTTCACCAAATCTGGAAAATTTTCCCAGATTGCCCAGGCAGTCATTTTGTTTCGGCTATATCTTTTTGCTCTGATGTCAGAATTGAGTACCGTTTATGGCACTAGAAACTAGACATTCCCAGCTTTCCAACGGTATAAAATACGCATCCTGATTCCACCTGAGCAAACCGTACCACTCATTTGAACTTGACTGTTCTGTTTCTCGGGTTCACTGGAAGGCAGAATAGGAACTACAACTTGATGCTCAAATTGGGCTAGTTGTGGACAGATTTCGAAAATGGTTTCTTCTGAGAAATTGTAGCTTTATGAATGTTTTTTCTAAAGCCACCAAACTACGCTCAATTCTGTGTTGAATTGAGTGAGTTGTGGCCAAAGTTTGAAACTGACTCAGTTATGAAATTCTTCATTTTGGACTGATCCTTAACTAATCTTAGTTTGGGGTTTGTTATCCGAAATATTTGGTGTTAATCACCTATCAAATAAACCTTGGACATATCTTAACATTATCTACTGAAATGAACCATGTTTGAGGTGTTTTATTGGCCAAACATTTTGAAAACGGAAGTCCAAGGCAGATTTGCCGAGGAACTTCTTGGGAATTTAGTGATTTTGTTAACCAACTTTTCGAATGAATTTTCCTACGAAATTTTGTAGAGGAATATCCCTTATATGGTAGGATAATACTTCCAAATTTGGTGCCATTCTGAGTCCATTCCGATGTTCAATCAAAGTCCCAAAGTTGTGAATTAAACTTGGAATTTACTTAACAGTTTCACATTTTCACTAACTTTGAGCTACCATATCTTGGTGCTCAAAACTTCGATTCTTGTTCTGCTTGTTTTGTTTTAAACTTTGATTGTAACTCTAATTGAGTTACAAATTTTGGAGGCTGGTTTGCAACGTGTGAATTTTACAGAATTTCCAAAGTTGCCCAAAAACCAACCTTGAAACTGTCTTGGTATTCTAAAGCAGTAACTTTGAACCAACTTTTGAATGTCATCCATTTGGAATCATGGAAAAGTATCTTCTAGAAACTTTTAGCACTTTAGAGGTAGTTTCCAACGGTACTAAGTTTTCCAATTTTGGACTTATAGAGAGTGAGATCTGATTTTTCAAAGTTTGCTTGTCGAATCTGAAATTTCCGAACTTAAAGGAAATTGAGGGTTTCAAACTCTCCATTTTCCTCCGATATTGCTAGACCATTTTACACTTGATTTCAAAGGCGAAAATCAGATTTCTCTTGTGTTTTTGAACGCCACTTCCGAACCTCGATTATGAATGACTAAGGCTCAATTTATGAATTCTCCTTAGAGTGAACACTAGTACAATGTTCTCGATGAGTAGGGAATTCTAAGTGATAGTGTATAATAGTTAATGGTTATTTGCCCAGGCGCTCAAGGGGACCTTCAAGAGAAACTCGAAGCAGACGCCTAAACACTTGTTCGAGCACGTACTCACTTGTTGGAATAGGTGGGTGTTCCATATAGGAGTACGTAATTTGAAAAGTC